GAAACAAATGTAAAAAGAAACAAATGTAAAAAGAAACAAATGTAAAATTGAGAAAAAGTTCTTTGACCATAAATTCACAAGGCCACCGAAAATGGGCAAACTTTTCCTGAGTCTGAAGGATCAGTTATGCAGAGTAGTCACCATCCGCTGCTGAGTCTTCAGCATTAAGAGACAATAATTTATTTATTTATTGGAGCCAGTAGGCCACTGGCTCCAAACTGTAGACTGTGAAGCTGTTTCTGTGTTCACAATGGTCACGTGTCGGACAATTTTTAATTTCTAAGGTACTCCCAGTAACTCAGTCTATGACTGTCCAATAATTTTCAAGACTTGAAGCTGGGGATTTTTCTGAAAAATACGTTTTTATATTAAACGTACACCCAGACACAAAGTTATTCAATTCTGTCCCTGTGTGTCTAACACAGGTTCAGCAGATCCTTTGCAAAGGCAGTTTTTCTAACCTTGATCCCCTGCAGATAAAAATCCACTATTACATCATTGCTTTTTCTTGGGAAATACGTCACACATACTGGGAAGTCATGAATGGGGCTACATTAAGAGGTAGAAGAATAAGCCTCCTCAGGACAAAGAAACTAATAGAAAACATTGTGATGTTACTTACAAACCAGATACAGATGGGAGGAAAGAGAAAAAAGATTATAAATCTCCACCACACACAACTCAAAGGCATTTAAAATACAAAGTACCCACATCAAAACCTTCACATTGATAAACAGATACGCAGCAGATACAAAATAAAATGTGTGCATGAGATTACCTTCCACAAGCACCTTGTCATGAGTGCCTGCACATGTAGATGGAGCTGAAGCATGACAATGCTATGCCTTACAAGGAGGAATTCAATTTTTACATGCTACACTTAGGGACAGGAAAAATAAAATTATAACTAACATACAGGAAGGTTTCCCCTGAGTTACCTGGGCTGAGACTGAAGAATCTGTGACCGTAAAGATAATCCTGGAAACAAAAAGAAAAGCAGTGCTACTGCCCTGAGTCCCCAGACTAAAACTGGCAACAATACCACGCCCATCTCATAAAATGCATATTGAAATTGGTATATTTTCACTCCATGTTTGCTTCTGACACTCAATTGCCTCCTCATAACTGAATGTGTCAAAAATCTCATCAGTTCTGTGTCAGTGCTTACTTATTAAGCCATAAACATCAGCAAGAACAGACTTGGGAGCCACCACAAAAGAATTCAGAAACTACTGCCTATGAGGAAAGCCTATCACAGCTGATGAGCAACAGAACAAAAGACTAAACTTCTGAGGCTTTAGTCTCTCTAGTCAGCAGAAAATAGTTACCAGAATTATATCCCTGTTGATCCATACATTTTCTGTTTAGACAGGACTACAGCCAGAAGATTTGTGCTTTGGATAATCAAAGCACAGTGGAGATCTTTCGGGGAATTTCTTCCCCATGATAAAAAACGTTCTGATTTCATGAATGTTGTTCTTAAACAGTCATTGGTCATTGGATCACCAAGTGTCTTCGAAAGATTCAGTTAACAAATAAATGTGCAAGAATAAACAGACTTCACAAATTATAGCAATCTGAATACGTAATTCAAGTACAAAGGCAGGTGCTTTTTATATTATATGTTATGTCCTTGTTAGATATTGCAAGTAACAACCCACTATCAGGCTGTGTCATCAAAAGGTACCAGATGGATGCTCCAGTTACACAAATCTCTTCCCTTCCTCACTACTCTCCTTCAAATAGGATGTAACAGTTAAAGACCAATGACAGGCACCAGCATGGAAAGCTTTATGTTGATAATTACTTAAGTGATTATCACTGCACTAATTACTTTAGCCAAAAATAATGTTAAAATCTGGACTTGAACTTGAAACCATTTACAAAGCTGTACTGCCACAGTGCTTGCAAGGCTTCAGGAAGTTTGACCAGGGTGAACACAGTACTATGCACAACTGAAAGTCTCAGGCAAGTTTGATTTTTTTGCTAAATAATCCAGTCCTGCCACCAACCTCACGCAAGCTCCCTTGACACTGCCATAAGAGATGACTCATATACCTTTTACCACTTTCAACATCCCAATTTGTCTTCTTAGAGAAAAAAAAAATCAACTAGACTCCTCTCTTTCCCATACTCTCTGCATTACGCACACACATTTCCCATTGACTGATGTTGCTGGACAGACCAATCCCTTCAGATTGACTTCAGAAGTATTTTAACTGACTGAAAAAATACCATCCTCTTCCTTGCATCACAAGAAGCTCTGAATTAGTCAACCCCACACTGTGAACTCCTTGGCAGTAATTTCACAATCTGGTTTCAGGTGTAAAATTAGAGTACATATAGCTCAGTGTTTCCAATGTCCAGTGGTCCTAACATCACTGTTTTACACACTACCATTTAAAACACAAGGCTACTGGGCTGGCAGCTGCAAAAGTCTTTCTTTCCAAAACAAATGAAGAAGTTCTGTTTTCAAATGAAAAAAGGAACTCTTACCTTACTCTCTGGATAACAGAATAGCACAAACAGCAGTATCTGGTGTACGTATATGAACTTGCACCACAGTGCCTCTGGATACCACTGGTTACAAGATCATAACTTAGACTTTAACACTGGAGATCAAAATTGAGTTGTGAACTGCTCAGGTTTCAGTAGTTATATACTGGAAGGAAAAAAAAAAAAATTGAACTTCCAGTCATTAGCTTCATGGACAAAGAGGTTGAAGAAAAAGTGTCTTCAATACAATATAAATTTGCACACCAGAAACGTGACATATAAAAACTGCCTTTGCTTTACGCACAAAAAGTTTGTACACTTCCTTTTTAATTCCTATAGAATCACCAGAAGTCAATCAGTTTTTGAGTAGAGAACTTAACAACTTTTTGGCAAACTGACTGTATGAATGCTAACTGTATAAAAGCTACAACTGTGCTTTTAGTATTTACTTCTTATGCTTTCCTTGAGATAAAAATTTTGTTCAAGAGGTTGGGTTATCATGGCTCCTAAAGGAGAAATAACCAATCAGTAGCTAACTAGAAATACTAGTTCTTTTTAATAATATATTATATTTTAATCCTAAACATGTTTCAATATATTGTAAAGTATTAGGTATGTGTAACTCCTAAAACAGAAATGTTTTATGTAGCCTTTAAATTTGCATTCAAAAGCAGCTTGACCTAAGCTGAAATAACAACATTCAGTCTTTACAGTTTTTGTAGGTAGAGAAATGGAAAAATATGTGGGGGTGTCCTACATCCACACTCAATTTTAATTCCAGCTAAAATTGCTGATTCCAAAACCAAGTGTAGGCCAAAGGGTGCCACACTTAAAATACAACCCACTAAAACCGCCTGACTTGGATAAGACTTTAAATTAGGGCTAAGCAGTCAGATGTTGAGCGCGGATGTCGAAGGTAACGCAGAGCCAATATTATGAAGTATGACACTGTGGCACTGTCCCCTTGGACCGATGCCTAACCCCTTGCCAGGAAGGCATCAAGCTTGAACATCTCTTCCCATGTGCCTTGTAGCCCTAGTGTGATCCTGCATGAGGAACCTTTTGAGGACTTTGGGATTTTCTCACTGTTATGAAATAAAAATAAAATGTCAAAATCTGAATGATGTTGTGGCAATCTCATAAGTGGATTACATTAATCATTTATCAGCAAGGGATAATAATTCTTGAGCAAAAGTAGAACCCTGAGTTCATCCTTATTCATCACTCTGAGACCAAAAAAGTCCTGCATGAGGAAGCTTTCGAGGACTCCGGAATTTTCTCATTGTTATGAAATAAAATTAAGATGCCAACGTCTGAATGAGGTCATGGGAATCTCATAAGTGGATTAGATTCATCATTTACGAGCAAGGGATGATAATTCTTGAGTGAAAGCAGAACTGTAAGTTCATCCTTATTTTTCACTCTGAGATAAAAGGAATAATAGCTGTGAATATCAGAAATACACATGAAGTTTTTGGAAAGGTTATGTAAAATGTCCACTGAAAGTGCAACAGAATTACAAAGCTATAGACTGGTTTTGCACTGACTCTTTACCTTAATACAAATTTCTGTCAGCTCACCACAGTGATAACTGGGAGAGATTTTCTCATTAAGCTAAAGCTAACTGCACTGCACATAGGAATATAGGAATGCTGCTTAATGATTCTTTCATTTCTTAAAAATAGTGCTCTAATTTTGAAACCATTGCAACGTAACTGTCATGGTTTGAGATACCCCAAAATCCAGTTCCCTAGCTCCATTCCCCCTCCCACACATTCCGTCCTGGCGTAAGATGTGTTTTCCAGACAACACAAAAAAAAGTTTTTAAATTCCTGGGCAATAATTTCTTCCATCTTGACCACCTTAAAAATCCAATTACCAAAAATTAAAATTATCGGGTGCCTGAATGAGCTAATACAGCAAATACACCTGCATTTCAGTCCTTTCCTGGGGGAGGGTAATGGTAAGATGGACTTAAAAACCATCAGGAGGAGATCACCATTTCCCTCACACAGTACATGTTCTTCACTCCAACGCTCCCATCACCCCAATGCCAGCAGCAAAGTAAGCAGCTTTCTGCAGCTGGTTTGCCCAGCAGAGGATGAGAAGGGCAGGTCAGAGGAAGGTTTGCCTTCAGCAGCCGTGTCAATCCCACTGGCACGGTAAGCAAAACCTTCTGCATGCGTTGGTGTTTTACACCCACAAGGGACGCAGCATTTCAGATTCAGAGCTTCATGCCTTGGTTCAGCCAAGAGCTACAAACACGGCATAAGCAGCCCTTGTCTTAGTCACCTGATTGGAGCAGAGCTTAGATCAGATGGCATCCAGGGATCCTTTCCAATTCAAGTTACTCTGTCATCATAAAAAAGCTGGTGTGAGAAAGCTGTTAAGAAAAGAGAAGGAAAAACACCTCAGCTCCCCACACACATCATACAAAATGTAACAATTTCCTCTTCCAGCAGTGAAGGCAGTACCCACCCTCTTAATATTTAGTGGAGACAGCAACATAAAAAAATCCTACTGGTTTTGCAGGTTCTTTGGATTTGAAGAGCGTTAGTTAAAGCATTCTGCTAATATCAGCTTGGGAAAGTCCTAGAGAAAGAGCTTTTACCCTGTGCTTCCTCACACAGCTTTGGTGGGAGCTTTTTCAGATATTACTCTTGGTTGTCCTTTTAAAGCTGTTTTTCCTAATTTAAATTTATTTAGTTTAAGGTTTTATATTTGAGATTTCCAAAGCACCAAGATTTCAAACATGATCAAAGTCCCATCAGAACAGACGCTACATAAATTCATGGTAACAGTAAGACTTTTGTCAAGAACTGCAACTCACTTATCAGAATAAATAAAAAATAAATTAAAAATCCACAAATAAAACTTAACCACATGTTAGGAAATTAAAGATATACATATTCATGTATGTTTTAAATCTTCCATTATGTTTTTATTTTTTCCTCCTCCTTTTGTTTAAAAGAACCCTTCTTTTACCCAGACAATAAGTTCTTGCCCTCCCAAATACCCAACAAGTTTTGAGTAAAATATGTTCCTTTAAAAAAAAAAAATTCTGAATGACCACCACAAGAGGAATGATCAGAACCCTATGTACAAAAGTGAAAACACTTGCAGAGAAATAAAATTATTTAACAAAATCAATATAGGCACCAAACCTATATCTCCTAGATACTGAACCAATACCATAACCATATATATATACACAAAGACAGTTCTTCCCCTGATATACATCCCCAAAAAGGAAAAAATAAAGCAACAGTGAGTTAATGTTATGTAGTTGCTCAAATGATCTTGGTCGAGTTGTCTAAGTTTTGTAAACTCCGTGGGACTGCTGTGCTGGTGTTTTCCTGACCTGTGCTCATCTTTTAGAGTTGAAAGTTTGAAAACTAAATTCAGTAGAGATGCTCCTGATGCACAAAAAGAGTGCCACAGAGGAACAGAAGAGTTTAATTAGTTGAAAAAAGAAACTACCACTAAAAGGATTCAGTCAAAATTCCACAGGTGTGCTGCTCAGCTGTCACATTAACTCAGACTTTTAATGAAGTCTCTCACTCCCTACACTCACATTTTTCTTAAATGGGTGACAAGGTGGTCATCTTCTAAAGGAAAGTAATTTTTACAGAAGGGCTCATGAGAAAGAAAGAACTAAATAATGCTTAAATATTGGCTTATGAGCAAGATTTGAGGGAGTCAATATATAGTCTAAGAACAGGTTTCGTTTTAATTGGCTAAACATCAGAGAACATCTCCTTTCACTAGGCAATGGGAAAAACAGAAGCTCCCAATGTGGTTTACCTCACCTAGGCTATTTATTGTTTTAAATACTACTAATACATTTCCCTCACTAGTTTCCTTGACGATGTACAAAACCCCACTGCTTATCCACAGACAGTTACTTACAGAGGCTTATTGGATGATGGAAACTTCTCCTGAAAAGTATTTGCAGTTAGACAGAAAACACCACAGGAAACACAATGGACCAGGTGAGATGCCACTTGCCTAGCAGCATCTCCATAGAAACAGATCTCCTTAGAAACAGAACTGCACTTCCATTCCTCCTCTCTTGTCAAGATGGACTGTCTCCAGCAGAAAGAGGTCTAGTGGACAAACATGTAGTTATGGTCCTAGAATACCTTAAGCTAAGTCCTCTGTCATCCACATCTGTTGTGTACCCATTATGCTGCTCCTGGATTTATTTCTTCAGAATTAGGACAGGCATTATCATCATGTGCCTGCATACGTGAAAGCATCCAATAAAGATGTTTCCCTAGGCCCCTTCAGTAAAGCAATAAACACAAAGCCCTTTCGGAAGAACACCAATGCATGCAGCAGAAACAGCAAAATACTATCACACTGCTCTTAGTAGATGATTTATCAAATCAATCATTACTATGAAGCAAAACCAATCAATCTCTTTTTCAGAAACTTTTAACCTCGATGCAATATGTATTACAGGCCATCTATCAGACATATAAGAGCCTCAGTGGGTTGTGTGCTAGCTCTCTCATTAAGCAGGAATCTTCACCTTCTATGAAACCAGAAAAACACATTTAAAAATGTATTACTGGCACATTATGGCTTCACTTAAATCTATGGTACTAGGATCTCGTACAAATATAAGCTTTAACTAATCAAGCTGCATTGCCTATAGATGACATGTATTAAACTATCTGAAACAGCTCTAATATCTTTTAATTATCTCTATCTTTGAGCATAAGAGAAAAGGTATGATTCTCACAATCTCATGTAAATCCGGAGCAGCTATGATCAATAACAGACAACGCGCATGCCAAAGGAAAAAATGCTGAATCTGGTCTGAAGTATCTAGGCCATGAGATGCGAGTGAAAAGTTTTAGCCTTCTGCTTGATTTTTCCTTCATTTTGTCTTTGTGAAGACTATGAAGTTTATAATTTTTTTTTTTTAACATGAGCATTAGTTTTGGATATTAACCCTGAACTCACATACATGTTGCAATATCACAGAACCAACATGGTGTGTATTTTCCTAGTCATCTTTTCTGTATTTTGGATTAGTTTTTCCTGATTTTGTTTGCCATAAACAATACCACACACTGACACAAAGCCAAACAATTTAAAACCACTGCAAGAGACTACCCACACTGGCCTGTTAAAAATACAAAACAAGCAGCTCAACAGGAGAGATTCCATTTCTTTGTACCCTCATGACTTTTATGCCAGCTCTAGTACCATTAAGCACTGCTTATAAAAAGAAATGCTAACTACATTTCAAAGACACACATAATCCTCATATTGAAGGCTTCTTAAGCTAAAGAATGCAGGCATTGCATATGACTGTGGTATAAAAGAAGTCAGAAGCCAACTCCTGGTCCAATTAAAACCCATTCAAATCTCATATGCAAAGAATGCAGGTTTCTGGTTAGGGTTGCTATTTAGATAACACAAACTTTAGCCTTAAAATTAATAGTCCCTGAATTCAAAAGATTACAGAGTACTTACATCCATATAGAGCAAACAAAATGTTCAGATCACGATGTTCATACCTTCAAAAATCCACACCCACTTTCCCTGCCCCAAAAGATGATGGACTACAAGATTTTCACCTTTAGTATCCACCATGGCACCACATCCAGCATGACAAAATCTCTTCTAAAGCATTAGCTCCTATGTTTTAAATACATGAAGGCAGTTCTAATAAGTTATAAAAATGGGAATGCATTTATACTCTTCCAAACATGTAAGGAATTGAAAAGTTATCATAAACAAAGGATTGAGAATTAAATTAACAGTTTAAGAAATTGTGAAAAGGATTTTATATTAAGTAACCAAAAAGGGATATACTAAAAAGCTTTGGCATTTCTCCCTCTTCACACACCAAAACTATCTTTTCTGTCTACCTAGATATATCAAATGCCCTTCACAGCATTCTTACATTTTGTAACTAAAGGTCTAATCTGTGATTACCTTTATTTTGATAGCCTTCCAAAAGGCTGGCTTTCCATCTGTTAAAAGACAGCATAGTAGCCAGAAAATTTGCTATTTTAAGCAAGGATAACGCATTAGCATAAGATAAAAGTATCTTTCAAGCTACAATCAGAAATGTCCAAGAAAACCTAGACCAATGAATTACATCATTCATAGTACACAGCCAAACTTGAGCCACCATTAATTTTGTAGAAATCTTTTTGGCCTAAAAGCTCATAGATATCTCAATCTCAGAAAGGCAAGATATCTTTCACTCAGGTTTACATTTCACTCATTATACACCCACAACATCCACCCAAGGTACATTAAAACACTAAATGTACTGTTTTTGCAGTTTCCTGTGATATTCCATTATCACTCACTGAACACTTCATTTTTCAGTATAAATATGCACAAATGCCCATAATTCAGCAATAACTGTTTTCCTTCACTTCTGAACCGCACTTCTGGGCAGTCTTCCCTGCCCCTTCTCCCCACAGCATTAGAGAAAAAGGTAAACATACACCTCACTTTTGGTTTGATACCACACAGGAGAATAAACACATTCACCATCAGTGTTCGGGAAGCACAGGCATCACGTGCTTGTTTTTGACATGGGCTGCAAAGGCAGGTGCAGCTGGTCCAGATTTAACAGCAATGCAGCAGAACCTGGAGTACTGTGAGTGGGATATTTTGCAAGGGCAAGTTGGTCAGGACCCCATGGGCCATGGCTGCAGAAGAGACACAAACCTGCAGCCACCTGGGTGTCCTCTTATCAGCTGGTGTAACACGACGCACATCAAAGACAAGAAAAATGCTACATGGCTGATCTGCCCTACACCCACATTAGCTCACTCTTAATATATGCAGAGTCAGGCAAACACCTCTGGCTTCTAGTTCCTCAGCAGCTATGAAAACAGCCAGCCGTGCAATGCACTCTCTAAAGCAAACTGCAATTGCACAGTCCAAAAATCTACAACAGGGGAAAGCAAAAGGGATGTTGCAGTTTTCCAGCCTAGGCCCATGGTTCCATCTCTCTTAAAAGGTGGGTTTATGATGGCAATAAAACAAGTCTTGGTAAACTGCTTCTCTTAACACTGATCCTTACAGAGAGCAGATGTAGCACATTCGGCTGCACCGACCACGACTGTGATTCAGGTAACCATTGTTATCAAACTGCTTTTCCGGGAAGAAAAGATCAAGACGCCTTCCCTTTTCTGAAACCAGAACGTGATGGTAGCAGATGTCACCTCCCCCTCAGCCCAGGGATGGAGAGCACGCCCCACGGTGAGGATGGGGAGATCCAGGCCCCGCTAGGTTCCCTGCTGCAAATAGGGACGAGGCCAATCCTGGCAGCATCTCTCGGCGGAAAGGGATGCTGCGACCGTCCTGCTGCGACGGCGACCATCGATCGGCGGATGCAAAATCCCCACGTTCCCCCCTTCATTTATCCTTTATCTTTTCACCATAGAAAAGGTGCGGGGAGGGGGGGGGGGGGGGGGGGGGGGGGCAACAGACTGAAAAAAAAAAAGCAAACCAGTGCATTGGGCATTGGGGTACGCACATCCCACGTAAAATGATGGAAAGGATAAAACGAGGGAGAGTACGCCGGAGACTGGGATGGAGGCGCTCATGGCCGCGCTGGCGCCGCTCCCGTAGCCCGGGGCAGGTGCAGCGCTGCCCCGCTCGCCCGGGGATGCCGCACGCCCAGGCAGGGGACAGGGAACGCCGCAGCGCCGCAACCCCCGCCGCCGAGAGGGGCCGCCAGGCGGACAGGGCTGGGCACCCACCTCCGGGCCCGCTGCCTCCCCGACACCCAGCGCCGCGGGAGAGACACGGCCGGACCCGCTCCCGGACCCCCCTCCCGGCCGCGTCCCCTCCGCACCTGGAGCGGGTCCGCGCCGCCTCCTCAGCAGGCAGGGCGGCTCCGGTGGGGGCGGCCGCGCAGCGCAGGGCGGAAAGCCCGGCAGCCGGCCGCTCCTCCCGCGGCCACCATCTTCCTCCTCCTCCTCCTCCGGCCGCCGCCGCCAGCACCGCCCGGGCCGGCTCCTCCCGCCGCACCGCCCTGCCGCGTCAGCGGGCCCGCCCGCGCCGCTCCCGCCTCCCTCCTCCCTCCCTGCGGCCCGGCGGGAGAGGGCGCAGCCTCGGGATTGCCAGGCGGGTTGCGGGAGCCCGTGCAGCCTCTGCTCCCTGCGGCCCCTCATCGTGCACGACCTCCAGGGAGATTTACTGCCGCGCAATAAAGGGCTTACCAGTGCCCTTTTCCCCCACTTACTCCCATATATACAAACACATGTTCACATATACAAACGCAGCGTTAGACCTTAATTCGCATCTACAGCCCAGGCTGTAACATCTATTGTATCTTGTATCTTCTCCAGGCTGCTGCTCCCTGTGTGTCACTGCCACAGTGATTCCACACATGCAAATGAAACCCTAAATTCCTCAAGATAGTGTCTTGCATTTTGTGGTATTTAAAACAATATGGCTGGACAGTCAAAACCAAAATAAACTATCAGAAGAAATACACTTTTCTTTTTATCACAGACAGATTGGTATCTAATCAGTTTTTCATTAAAAAAAAAAAAAAGGTAGAGGACTTTAAAATGCCTAACAACCAATGCAAAACTATAGTACTGGCAACCTAAATTGTTACATTTTGACAGTATTGTGAATTTATCTCTTCAGATACCCTGAAAAACATCTGTGAAGTGTTTAGGCAAACCCCACTGCAAACTCTCGTAAGTATTCAACATATAAAGGCTTCTAACTAATTACTATGATAACTTGGTGTTAGTTTGGAATATAATTCTGTTTTTCCCTTTCCAGTGAAAAGACACTTTTTAGTTCTTGATTATAGGGTAACACCTATTACCCTATTATTATATGGTTCAGCCACTCTGTGTGCACAGCTGCACCTTTAAATCCTAGCCGAAATGCCACAGTACTGTCCAAATGAAGACTTTGAAAATGAGAGTATGAAAAAAACATTGAAAAGAAGGAAGAACTGAAGAAAGCACAAGTGATTTATTCCTTAGACAGCTGCTGCCAAAATCCATTCCTCTGTCATTGATACATTGCAATACTTCACTTCTTTCCCTCCTGTGCTAATAGTTTCTATGCATCAAAGTTTTTCTATAGTATCCTGGAAAAATCTTCCAACCTGATAACATTTGTAGCAAAAACAAGAAAACCCAGAGGAGATTTCTGTTCTCTTCTTCTTTTCTGTGGCCTGTGTATATGGCACTGATTTGGCCCTAGGTTACCAGAACTTATGGTGTATAGAACATGCATGACAGATTTCAAAACTATTGATTCTTGGAGAGTTACATTAGATAAAACTCTTTACTTGTAATTAAGTTCCTTCTCCCTGATCTCCCTCTCAAAATAATGCAGTTAGGCCTGAATGTGGTCTAAATTTACCCTGCATTGAGGGAGGTTTGCCCAGATGACCTCTAGAGGTCCCTCCCGACTTACTTTATTCTGTTACAGTCTTACTATTTCAAAAGACTATCAAAAGCAGTCTCAATGACTCCTAGATTATATCCAAGAAAAGTTCCATGTCCTAATTGCATTTTTCTCTCAGAATTCCACTTTACCTCATTTGTTTCACAGCTCATGAAGACAGGTCTTCTAGCACATAAGTTGTCTGTGAATCTGAAGAGATGCTGCTGCTAATGCAACGGTATTAATGTTGCTAATCCTGCATTAAGCATTGACCTTCAGGTTCTTACTTGTTTTCAACCTGATCATCATTACTTAGTCAGTTTTAAATATGTTAAATTAAAATCTACTGAAAAACTAGCATGAGAAGCACCAAGACTAGTCTGTAACGTATATAAAATTAAGTACTGCTACAGATGAATTAATACAGTCTGCTGGATATTAAATTATAACCTTGTGAGGGTGGCAGTTTTTTAGGTTGCTGTGGTAATCTGTAACAAACATCTATCAGCCACCTTCTGGCATATTCAGACACACTTGCTCAATAAAAAGTTCTATTTACACTGAACCAACTTTTTCATTTATATAGGGTTTTTTTCTCCCCCTGTATTTCAATTTAAAGACAAGTATTTGTATCACTCCATGTGTAGCTTTTGAGGCTTGGCACACCCCTGGCAACATACATACCTCAGAGAAACATGTAAACAGGCCTTTCTTCCCATGTGGGTCATTTGGCTCAAGCTGCTGTGTGAGCATCAGCAAAGTATCTCTCTCAGGGAAGGACCTGGCCCCGGTTTCATATGGACATCTCATTAGCTGGGCCTGGATGTTTCAAAGGCAAAGAAGTTTTACTGAAGCTTTCTCTTTTCAGGAAAAAAAAACCACTATGCTCTGCAGAGTACATTAATTGGATTCAGCACGTCTACATTCTGCCTCTATTTATATACCCATCAGCCTAGATAAAAGCCTTGGCTGTGGCAGTTCAGACACTTTTTTTCCTACGGTAGTCTACTAATCTTGTATGTGTTTTCAGGAATTGGACTTGCAATGATCTAGGTGTGTGTGACTTGTTATTTTCAGCCCTGGGCCAAAGGCAAAACAGCTCTTGCAGGCTGAAAAAACCAGTTCAATCTTGACATTTTTAAGGTCAGATAGCTCAAGACCCATGAGAGACAGAACTGAATGCTTTTTACAATCTGAAACCTTGGGATTACAGCTTTCTTATGTCAAAAAGCATTAATCTCTGACTCTAGTGGTGTGTGCATTACCTGTTACTAGAAGAGAGGCTGTTTCAGATGTGCTTGTTAGTACTGAATTAGGTGGGTTTCAGAAATAGAAATGTTTTCAAATTCTGATACTGGATCACTGAACTTTTTTATGAATAAAATCTTCCAGACTCAACCATCTTATCAAATTAGAGGACTGGGCAATCACCAACCACAGGAAGTTCAACAAGAGAAAGTGTTGATTCTGCACCCGGGATGGGGCAACCCCAGATGTACCTACAGGTGGGGAATGAGATGCTGGAAAGCAGTGCTGGGAAAGGGACCTGGTGGTCCTGCTTAGCGGCAAGTTGAATATGAGTCAGCAGTGCCCTGGCAGCCAGGAGGACCAACCTGTCCTGGCGGGCATCAGGCAAAGCTTTGGCTGAGGGAGATGATTGTCCCACTCTGCTCTTCACTGGGGCAGCCTCATCTTGAATATTGTGTGCAGTTTTGGGTGCCACAGTATAAGAAAGATTCTAAGTTCTTAGAGAGTGTCCGAAGGAGGGCAATGAAGATGGTGAAGGGCCTTGAAGGGAAGCCTTATGAGGAGTGGCTGAGGTCACTTGGTATGTTCATCCTGGAGGAGACTGAGGGGAGATCTCATTGCAGTCCACAACTTCCTTGTGAGGGGAAGAGGAGGGGCAGGACCTGATCTCCTTTCTGTGGTGACCAGAACCTGAGAGAACAGCCTGAAGTTGTGTCAGGGGAGGTCTAGGTTGGACTTTTAAGGTTTTTCACCCAGAGGATGGTTGGGCAGTGGAACAGGTTTCCCAGAGAAGTGATCACAGCACCAAGACTGACAGAGTTCAAGAAGCATTTGGACAATACACTCAGGCACATGGTGTGATTCTTGGGAATGGTCCTGTGCAGGGCTAAGGGTTGGACTCGATGGCCCTTGTGGGTTCCTTCCAATTTGGGATATTCTGTGATCCTGTGATTCTTCTTTACTAGTTTGGTCTGAAACAGCTAAGTCAGAAGCATGGAGTCAGATCTATATTTTTCAAGTGCAAAAGTCACCAGTTTTGTCAATCATTCTGACTTCCCATATAATAAGCATATAAAATTTCACTGTGCCTGCATCCAATCTTATGACACGCAAGCAAGATAGTTTCTAATGAATTGAAATCCAACACAAATTAAAGTCTTCTTGTACTATTTCAAACATCAGTCATTACTCCCAGAAAGTTTAATGGAGAGTTCTGCAAATCTTTTTTGATGATTTCCATCACTTCATTGCCAAATTTTGGAGCAGGTATCCCTTAGAATAGAAATCTTCACTTCTCTTGGGTTGCAATTATTGTATCCTGACCACGTACAGCCTGTAAAAACAGGCTGTCCCTTTTCTAATCTGAGAGGACAGTGTATCATTAGTTATGCCTTGAAGTATTTATTTGCCAGGAGGACCGTGTACCAAATATTCAACAAATCCTGATTCATCTTCATAGGGGGAACACGTTAAAAGAGACATACTGGACTGTGTGATTTTGCTTCATCTACAGTTCATCTTTCCATTATAGAGCAGTTTCAGAGCTGTCTCAGACAGAAGGATGTAAGCAAGTTTAAAGCCTGATTTGGAGATGGCAACAGTGGCATGTGGTTTGGAAGACTGAAAGAAGCATAAGATTTGGCAAGGTTAGTGCCTGTTCCATCTGTTGGTGAGGTAGGTGGCCCTTGTCAAAGATGCTTACAGGGAGCAGGGACAGTAGGGACTGTAGCTTGCTCTACAGAACGTGAAAAAACCCGAGTAACTCTAATTATTGAAGTGACTAGATTTTTTTTCAGAAGGGGATTTTTTGTCATTTCAGCAACAAGCCAAATGGTGCCCTCACTGGTGGGCTTGTTCCTGGAGTCAGGCACTTCTGGAACTGCATGCAGTGCCATAGAAATCAGTCATGGCATCAGACCAACTGCTTGGCAAAACCAAGCTAGAATTAGGCTCGGGTCCAGTTTTTTAATCTATAGTGTTGTGGTTTAGGAATGGTATTCCCCAATTTAGTGTTCCCACTGAAACATTCCAAACTATGCACACGTCGCTCACTCCATCTCCCCCTCTCCCTGCAGGTGGCTGGAGTGGAGAACTGGAGGCACAAAAGATCACAGGTTGAAATACAATTTACTGGAAACAGCAATGAAACAAACAATAACAGCAACACCGTTAATAACAGATTGTGCAAGAGAGGCGAGTGATTCACAAGTGAGTGCTCCCCAGGCCAAACACAACATAGACCCTGGCCTCTCAGTTCCTGCCACCCAGCTGGAAGGGCCCCTTTCCTCCTGCCCCC